TAATGTACATAGGTGAAGAGATAACTCAGTTACAATATAAGGAGGTAAAAGATAAGCTGGAAACAGTTCAATATGTGGCCATGTGCCAAATTTAAGGGACTTTGAACCCATTAAGGACTGAAGGAATTAAAAACGTGCAACATAAGGTGACAAAGGAATAAAAGTGGATATATATAATTTTAATTTGGGTCTCAGGACCAATTGGAGTTAGACAAGAATTTTCTTACCTCAGGTTCATGAAGAATTATTTTTCCAAAAAGGAGTAGCATGTAAAGAAAAACCTTCAGAAAAATCATTTGTAAAAGCTTAGACACAGTTCAAGCCACATGATTGGGATAACCATAAAAGCATGGTCCACATGTAGGGGTCCCTTCTAGCTGAAAGGTAACTATTCCAGATGAGGCAGCAGGATGAAAATAAGGGTAGGATGGTGGAAAAGGTTGTTTAGCAGAGGTGTTAAAAATCAAAGATCGCTACAAATAGGGAGAATAAATAATTACCAGTAGTATTTCTTTCTTCAAGTAAATAATTTAGGCCGAATGTGGACGGGGTGGAAACCACAGGAATTGTTGAAATTTAAAAGACACTTCTAGAAAGTGGTATGCATGTAGGGCTGCATGAGGGTGACTAGGAATAAGAGGGGTTGATCTTGGGTAGAGTGGGAGGTACAAAATACTTTTCTCATTTTAATTTTAATTTTAAATTTTGTGTCACATGATATGTAGGTCTTAACCCATTTGCAATGAGCATGTCACATATCCGTGACATGCCCACTTTGGGAGTGTACTTGTTTAATTGTTTGTACACATAGATGGCTTCATTGTATTAAATCACAATGAGCCAATTACGAGTACTGCCTGTATGCCTGTGTACTCTTTTTTTAATTTACGAAAAATGTTTTATGTTATTTTATTTTGCTATTACTAATGTTTATCACATATAGTAATTATAATGTTTATAATAAAAATAACCACCCATCGATATCCATAGCAATAGAAAAAATTACAATTTTTCCCACCAATTAAGGAAAGGGAAATCAGGTAAGGCAGAGCCATCTATGTGTAGAGACATTTCACAAAAAAATAGAAAAAAATGACCGGAGCATTTTCCCCATTTTTTTTCATTCATTTTCCGTGTCGTGAATGGTGTAAGCTATTACAATATAATGCATTCTACCTAAAATGTTCTATGTAAAACATGACAGCTTCATGTTAGTACTGTTTGTTTTAGGAGTGTGACTCTGTTGCCAGCACTATTTTTTTTTTGCATTTGTACAAAAAGGTAAATAAGCACGGATGTATTCCATTCCATTAAAAAGACAACATATAGATCAAACTGCTGATCATCATCTTTATAATGTGGCACCTCCTTGAACTATGATATTGTATCAGAAAATATTGCCAAGTTTCATATATTTAAACATGTTAATTAATAAAAGAACGATATATGTAAACATATTGTGGCAATCTCATGCAGTATTAATTGCCCTAAATTACATATATTTTTTGTATGGAGTAAAAAAAGCTCATAATACATTTTTATAAAAGTTTAACCTCTTTTAAAAGGAGACTTTATAAAATTCCATGATTACTGACAGAAGTAATTTCCTAGACATCTCTAATAAAATTAAAAATCTGTAATTAAGTCTTCATACATAGATTTAATATGCAAGGAGGATGCCCACAATGCTGTTTCAAAAGGTAGATATCAAAAAGGGACTAACCAGTTATTTCTTATATTGCAAACCTACAGTCACCCTAATTCCGGACCGTTCCTATGTTCCACAATGAATCTATATTGGCCAGTGCAGAAGATAATAATGATATGCCCTTACTGATTTCATTCTCTTCCCCCCACCATCTATAACCTTGTACTTCTGTATGGACAGTTAAAGTTTCCCACAAGCCATTAGTAGAAGTAAAATTTCACCTGGTAGTGGGCAGAATGACTGAAAAATAAGGACATTTTCATCATGGTATTTCCTTTGCTGGTTGGATAATAAGAAAATTTGTGCAACAATGAATACATGGTTTACATTTACAAGAAAATGTTATGGCAAGATTAATAATCACACGAGAAAAAATGCACTACTAATACATATTAATCGCATTGGCAAAAAATAATGTCAGAAATGAAAGAAATAGGTCACAACAAATTTCTGCACAAAAAAGTAAATCCACTGCATTGGGTGGAGGTCGGCGGGCAGAGCCCCGGATAGGGAAATACAGCAATGGTTAGGTTAGGAAGAGTTTTTGGTTCATACAAGTGATATTTGAGGATTTCGCAGGAATGGCTGGAGTAAAAGGGGGCTTTACTCAGTGGGGTTTAAAGTCCACTTTGTAAACAGTACAAACTTTCATTTATTCATTTGCAATGGAAAATAAAACAAACAGATTCAGGCATACTCAGTGTTCGAAAATTAAAGAAGGATAATAAATTGCAAACTGACCACCTGTGTGAAACAAAAAAAGTTTGTTTTTGTGGATAACTAAATCCCAAA